AACTAAAGCCATCTGATCCAACGACTGACTTTTGGCACGTGGTTCGCTCCAGTAAGCTGTCGCTTTCGTTCCATTACTGTAAATTTCGACTAATCTTACTGAGGTAGTATATCAAAGCAGCTAAAAGTTGCTGCTTTTTGAGAAGCATCAAAAAAAGTCCGGTGTATAAATGTGATAAGCACAAAATCTGACAGAAGGATTTCGCATGATGTTCTATCGATTTCCTGGAGAAGATGCTTCATAATTCATTCCTCAGCAGTGACAAGCAGCAGTAAATGGATATGAGAGATTCATGCCATTCCGTAGCGTTATCCTTTCATAAGCAGATCTAGCGAGGGGAGAGGCGATGGGTCTTTCGTCCCCTCCCCCTTCCCTGCCTCAAACAATGCTGCAAAACCCAGGTCTAAAGTTAAAACTAAAGTAAACTAAAGCCTAAAATAACTCTAAGTAGCAGTGTTACAACCTAGTCCTGGTTTTTGCATAGTCCCAGGGTAGGAAGGAACTTTCCTCCTCGCCCTCGCCGCTCCCTCCCCTTCCAGAAGTCCACCTTAGATCCGTCTGTGGAACCTTTAGTCACCTACTCCCCTTGTCATCCGCTGCTCGGATCAGTAGTTGAAGGTCAAAATGAAGGGCGTAAGGAGCACTAAGGTCTGTTATAATAGTTGTCAGAACAGAATCCTAGGCCTTTGCGATCGTCTGAAGATGTCCGCCAACACCAGTTTGATGGCTCACCTACTCCTTTAAGAATCAATCGCTTATTCATCGCTTATTTCACTTTAGAGCTTTTGTTTTAAATGTTTCCGAGAATATCCAGACAAATGTTCGGAGGCAAAAAATGTCGGATGCATTCCTTTGACTGATGATCACATAACGCTTCCCTCCCCCACACTAATCCCATGTAATTTGATATCTCACAGATCGTTGCAAATTTCTGGATTTTACAAGTTGTAAGCTGCTGCTTCAGTTTGGCTGCTTCACTCATCACAACATTTACAAACATTCATAAAAGCACGAAATTTAAACGAGGGCTATCCAGAATCTTAGCAAAACTTCCGATATTCCCCGTCACATGGAATCAAAAAAAAAAAAGCAACGAAGGAGTCGACAAAATTCAATAAAAACTCAAAAAAAGGTACAATTTCCCATTGGACTACATTCATCTTCCGGTAATTTCCACTCTGCTTTCCCCTGTATCCTGTTTTTTTCCACATAAATTATTATCTATTTCAAGCTTTTTCTTTACTTTTCTTTAGATCTATCAAATTTTCGTTTTTTTCCCCTCAGTCTTTTCTTACACCTCCCTCTTTAATCGCTCGTAAATATTTTCATATTCTTGTTATATCTCGCACAAAACATCGAGAGAATCAGGATCGTCCGAACTGTCAGTGTAAATATTCATGTTAATGATGTCATTTATGTACGTTATTTGTGCTAATAAACATATTTCTTAATGGCCCCAAACGTCTTAGCTTACTGTAACGCTCCGGCTGCATATTTTTGAATTTTTGATACTTCTATAGTTAAATTAATTGAAATTGTTTGTGCGTTTTGAAGAAGATGAAAGACGCACTCGACGTAGTAGGCCTGTCCTTGAGGAGCGAAATTTGGATCGAAATGTCGGCCCGGCTCACAATCCAGATCACAACTTTTTGCCGCACGATGCGACGTGACTTGAAACTGTTCACCAACATTGGATACCGCCACAGCACTCAACGATTTCGAGGGCGCATTTACTGGAGCCGGAGCCAGACGACTGCAACACAATTTAAGCAACAGTTTCCACCGGAGAACCGTGGCTAAGGATGATGATTTTCAGTCGTATTACAATTATGCGCTGCGATTCATCCATTTTACAGTAAAAAAATTACCTTAAATTTGGCACCCCTGAATTTCATTTTTGAATACCTTACTGGAAATTTGCCTTCTGTTCAAAATTTTCGCTTTTTTTGACGCAAAGAAGCCTTCAATCGACCGGATATTTAGTTGGCAAAGTGCTTCATATTCAAACATAGTTTCGAAATATTGCTGTTGTATAACATTTTAAAACGGTACTAACATATGAGAGGGAGTCAAACGTATCATTAGCTAACTTGTAAGCAGCACTTACAAGAGGGAGCTATCGGTAGCCTTGCCAGCGACTGGTTGCACTTGGCACTGCTGCCACTCTGGTTACTTGCCGAGGTCTCCGCCTGTCACAGGAAGCGAATACAGGGGGAGGAGGATTTTGTCTTTTGACTCTGGATTCACGACTTTTCTAAACTCGACTTACTGCGATTCATTTCAATTCCAAAACGAGATATCCTGACAAAAAGACATAATGGAACTTAAAAATATGCAAATATTTGAAAATTTCAGAAAAAATAGTACTTCGTAACAGTGTCTTCATAGTTGATCAGAGCTGGCGCCGAGCTCTGTCTTGGATGATACGGCCCCTGGTAAGCAGCATTCAACTGTGTCGCTGATGCTGAACTTGGACTCAAAGTATGGCGGCCACTGGAGCCAAGTCCATCATCACTGGAACCTTCCGTGGACGAGACGTGTGATTTGAGCGATGACACTGGTCGCTGGTTGAATGATGCTGGTACACTGGGCTGAAAAATTTCATGGCTTTACATAGCGAATAACTGTTGCAAAAGGAACAAGGTATTAACAGCAAGGAAACGAAGTTGCCGGCTAAACCCCTTCGCCTTACCCAGTTGCCCTTCGATTCTATGTGATATGCAAATGTCCCTTCTCCTGACTCGAGTTCCCCCTTCCTTGATATCTAATGATGTGAGTAGAAATGAAATGGTGATTGTTTTTCTGTGCCAAATAATTTTTTGGCAGCAGCTTGCAGTTTGTTCCCCGCTCCGCGTATTGTGAGCCCTGCGGCAGCAGCTTGGAGCTCTTCCTGCAATCGCGCAGGCCCTTTGGCCCTACTCCGCGCGTTAAACAACTAAACAGACACATAAACTATGCGTGTTTGGTGTGCCATGCTATATTTGTATTGGATGCATTCTTGACCATGTGGACAAAGCGGATTATTGAACGGAAGCCATACAACGTCAAAAGAAAACAGGGAAGCACGACAATACGGTGAAAAGATTCGCCTGAACCACTCTGATGGAATTATGTGAATGAGAGAAGCGCAAAATAGCGAAGGATGAAGAAGTTGTCAACTGCTTGAATGAAATAATGCCAATAATGGAAGTGGTATCGAAGTACTGTATCATGTGTGCAGATATTGCTATGGCATGATGTGTGTTTAAAGTATGCAAAACTTATTTGAAAAATAATGATGGTGCTACCTTTTTGCGCTCAAAATGCTTGCCATGTGTTCGCATGCCGGCCGAAAAGAGCTCCTCCAGTGATTTTTGCGGATCGTCAACATGGGTGTTGATTTGTACGAACGGGGTGTTTGTTGTTGCTGTTTGCAGTTTCGCCTTCGACGCCATCGCCATCTCCACTCGTTTCTTCGCCGAGGCCATCCCAGCGATGCCTGAAAAAAAAAATAGTTGCTCTCATAATCACACTGCTACAAGCAAAAACTACTACATAATCGACGAATTCGTCATGTCCAATGATCAAGGCGCTGCACATCAAATTTTGGTATGAAACAACAGTGTCTGCAAAATTCGCATTGGCACACAGATATCATCGATACATTAGCACTGCCTGCTTCTTCACATGTATTAGTTTCGGCTGCTTTTTTTTATACATCCACACTGACATACACACACACACACACACACACACACACACACATTCACACATGGTACACGCACATACATTTGCCAATAATACACTATCAGCACTTTTTCACACGCATATCAAGACATGAGGCATTGATGCATTAGCACTGTCGGCTTCTTGAAACATTTTAGTAATGGCACCGCTTTCTTCCCCACTAGTTCATTCATTGCTTCTATTCTACTGTAATAAGCCTCATATCTCTTTCCTCCTAAACTTGTATACTTGAGAATAAGTATAAAATTCAGCTGACTTCTCCCTCCCTCCCCCTCCCCCTACGAAATCCAGACCCAGATACTTCACCGAAGTATGAAAGTGGCAGCGGGCTAAGCAGTGCCGTGGCACACCGGAGTACAAAATCCGGCACTCATGGCATACCAAGAAGACACTGCGCCACGTCTGCCCCCTAAGCTCAGCTGATACCAGCCGGTGCCCGTCTGACCAGTCTTGGTATTCTTGGTTAGCTGATTTCGTGATAAGGATGTTTGTAACACAACCCCGCAGAATTGTAGTGCTTCTGGTTCGAATAGGACTGCCAGAAGCATGACCGGATCCAAGGGGGAGGGGGGAGGAGAGGGGGGGAGGAGGGAGGAATGATGGGCCTTTCGCCTCCTCCCCTTTCAATGGCACAAGTATCAGTGCTACAAAAGTCATAGTCTAAAGCTAAAACTAAAGAAAACTCTCTTCCGCACTCCCCTCCCTAGTTGCCCTCCCCTAGGAGCCCCACTCTCCTCCCCTTCCCCCTCCGCTCGTCACCGATAGAAGCTCCACTCGTAGCCCCCTTCCCCTCCTTCCTCCCTCGCCCTACTAGGAGGCCGTTCTAGATCCGCCTATGATTGGAAGACCGGTCTCTCGAGACGGAGGCGGCACTCGGAAGTATTTTGAAGCAGCATGCCCCCCCCCCCCCCCCCCCCCCCCCCCCCCCCCACCCCC